TGTGCATGACTGGCAGTGCATTTGTTGGACCAGATCTAAGGAGCCAGAGAGCGTTCAGCTCCTTTTTGCCTACAAAAGAGCAGCCAGACAACCAGCAAGAGGCCTTGGATGTAGCACAAGGTGATACTTACTTAGTCAGCCATTCTTTTTTTCAAATATTTTTTTTTTTCCATTCAGTAAACCAAGAGTTTTTCAGTTTCACAATGACACAAGGAATTAAATTATCAGTGGATTGTTTTTCTACAGCCACCATTCTTCACAGAGAAATACTGTACCAACTGAATTGTATGTTTTCCAGAACAACATAAAATCATTTTTTAAATTAAAAAATAAAAATAGAATAAATTGTTGGCTACTTCTTTAAAAATGCCTCCTTGGTTGAAGGAGATGTTTTCCATTTTACGGCCACACCATCCCATTTTATTGTGAATTTTGGGAGCTTTTTTCTTAAGGGGGACAGCTTTGTTAAGATATTTTTTGTGATTCTTCTAGTTTTGACTTTGAGCTTCTTCTGTGTTCATTCTGTCTTGTCTCATCAGTGTATCGGTGCCATAGCGCCTAAGCCAATAGCTCCTTAAGCAGTTTGATACTTTTTTGATTCATGAAAAAATATTTTCAAGCTACATGCTGTTTATGAATAGTGAGGTAGCTGATGTAGAAGGCAGAAAATATCCAACATGTTTATGTCTGTCTTTGCTTACCACCTCCTACAATCTGAACAACCACAGAAATCCAAAGCCACTTTTGTTTATGCTGAGTGTTCCTTGCTTAGCAATCCATATTTTGCTCACTACCTGTGTATTTTGAGCTGTTCTGAAACAGTGGTAGAGACCAAACATAAATGTGATCCCCAGGGTGATCAAAGATTTAATCTGACCAGATGGGACAAACTTGAGAAAGATTTTGACTTTCCACTCTGTTTTGCAACAAGAAAGGCTGATTTTTTTTTTCTCCCATCCTTTCTTTGTTAGCAAAGGCAGAGATCAGGCCATCCCCAGAGGAATGAGCAGGTGTGGCCATTTACAAGCATGTCTGGTTATATTATAAACCAACATAAGAAAAGTTTGAAATGGTTTGAAAAGATCTGCTAAACAGTTTTAATGTTTCATCCCAAATCCTATTTACTCATACAAGAGCCGATCAAGGTCACAGTACAACCCAGCCTGCTCAAACCTTTAAAGCTCATGTAATTTTATTTATTTTTTTTTATTTATTTTTTTAAATTCTGTCTTCTCTTCTAACTGAATAGGTACATTTTGGTAATCCTGAATAGGTACATTTTGGTAATCCTTGCCTCTGGACAAGCACAGAAGTCTTTTTCTTTCTGAATGGCTAATAACAGAGCCGTTCTTCCTGTCTAATGATGAAAGAGGTGGCAGTCAAGTTCTTTCTCTTAGATGTACTGTGCACTCACGGCTGACCACGAACCATTTTGAAACCTACAGTTTCAAGAACTGCTCCCTCTCATACAATTCTGGTTTGATTTTGTTGCTGTGGATTACAAGCAATTTACCACATTTTTTAAATTTTACTTTTGTCCCCCAGTCTGTGGACACAGTAAAGAATTTAATTTTTAAACATCAATTAAATGCAGTTCGCCAGATTGTATTTTTTTTTTATAGTGAGAGGATGATACATTATCAGAATTCTGTTGTAAAGTCAGTTTGCATCCCCCCAAAATTCTACCAAAGGAGGACTGAAAATCCCTGGCGAAGATTTTGTGGTTTATTTTCTTTTCAATGTGAGAAGATTGCAAAATTTTTAGTCATTTAAGGAGATGATTTTTAAGGGGGTGTTTGAGATTTTTTTGCCCTGAAAGACTCCACCACTCTCAATATTTTCCTGAGTTGGGCAGCTCTCAGCTGGCTGTGTAATGATCTCGGAAACTGCCCTGCCAGTGTTTCACATTCGAATTCACCTTCCCAAATCCACGGCATAATTTTTGGCCAAAGTAATGTCAGTCACTGCCGTCTGCGGCGAGTACAAACAGGACCCCCTAATGGCAGCCATTTTTATTTGTTTCTTAAGATCCAAAGGCTGCTGAAAGAACAATTGGATAAAGTTGAGGATTGGAGAAGCTTGATTTTCTTGTTCCAGTGAAATGAAACTCCCGTCCTTTTTTTTCTTCCCCTTTCCCTTAAAAGCCGGAGTCAGCTAGGGGGTTGTAGCTGTGTCAAAGCCGTTGGGATGCCACTGCTGATCACTTTAATTACTAGGACTAAGGAGGATAAAATTAAAAGTAGCACCATTGAAGCAGTGGAAGAAAGCTTGCCGAGATGTCAGTGAACTGTGAAATATAAAAATTGCATACCAATACATTTTTATAGGAGGGAAACAAGGAATTACATTACTTATTCTTGAAGAGTTTGTCCTTAAATAGTGAAGTTTTCCTCACTGTGCATCTGCATGGCAGATCTTTAAACCATTACAAAATAGTTGGAGGGGAAATAACAAAGAAAACTGTAATGTCTCTTTGGCATGTCAGAGGGTGGAAGATTTTACTGAGTTTTCTTTTCAATTGTACAGGGAAAAATAAGTCACTGTATGTGTGTTTGCTTGGTCCTTTCTTGGTGCAGTGCTTCTTTTCATATCTCCTGAGTTGTTTTTTTTTAAATATTTTTGTTTGTGCCTCTGTACCTCTCTCAGGTCCTTTCCTTTCCAAATTCTAGCTTGATATGCCGTTTAACTATTTTTCTGTACCTCAAAACTTACTCTGCTTTTTCTGCTCTCAGTTTCATTGGCCATTCTTACCAGTGTTTCTTCTGCCAAGCTCGGTAACGAAGGGTTCAAATACCTGAATTGAATTTAAGCAAGAACTAGGCTGGTTTTTCCCTTATCCGCTGGTGATGATTGGCTTAATCAGCACAAACACAAGCCACCATAATCTGTGTTTGCTTGGAGATCCCCGGGATGTTAATGACTATGCTAATAATTCAGGATGCAAGTTCTCTTTCAGGAGGAGGGGAGGAAAGAAGGAGAAATCAGCCAGCTCAGTTTAGGGTATTTTTGTCACAAACACGTAACTGGCCCTATTTTAAATTACATGTGCTGAAGTAGATTAAATTGTTTGACGTTAAACCATGTGGGAATCTTAGTTTTGTACCTTCGTTCTTAGAAGACATTTAAGTTCCTATATCCAAGGAATTAGGAATATTGGAGATTTGAGCAGTTTTATTTCAAGTAAAATTCAATGTAATTAATGTTACCAAATACTGTGGGTCGAAATAAAACTGTTTGCTGTGTCAGTTGGCTGGCTAGAAATTAAATTAAATTGATCTATGATAGTGCGGGGGGGGGAGGGGGGCGCGGAGGAGAAGCTTTCCAGTTGTCTTTCTAATGTGTACTTTACCAGATAAATTTTTGATAGAACTGTTGCTCTGTGCCTTCTGGGAAGTTAAAGGGTGAGAAAGCAAACAAAGCCCATGTGCCATCCCGCTGCCTCGCAGGGCCCAGGCAGAATTGTCTTTCCCGAGGAGGACATTAGGAGAAAAGTAAATCAAGGCAATCTGATAGGGAGTCGGGACTCTGTCACTCAGAGGCGAGATATTGTGCTGTGTCCATATACTTTGTTTACTGTAGGGTTTTATGAGTTGTAACCTGCCCATGCAAGCTGTTAATGAGGCTAAATCTTTCTGCTGGAGGATTGAATTACAGCACACCTCTGGGCTAATGGTTATAAACAGAAAGTCCCATTAGGGCTGCATTCTGATTCAGTCATTTGCATTTTTTCTATTGTGCCGAGAACAATGCTGAGTAAATAGCTACAAACAAACAATTTACATGGAAATGGATAAAATGTACCTAATTAGTATTTTGCACTTGTTTTATTAATGATTGCTTAAACTAAATAGCACTTAGCAACAGCTCTCACCAGCCTCTGCAGGTGTGGGATGCTCAAGTTTCTGGGTTGGTGGGAAGGCTGCCAGAATGGCTCTCCAAAATTAGGCAGTTTGTTATATTCCACTTAGTCCAGGTCAACGGCCTGTACCTGGGATTTATCCAGGTCATTATGTCAATAATACATAAACTTATTGGCAGGTTAGGTTTAAGCCAAGCGCCGACTTCTTTGCACTTTATGAGCGTTTCTGATATTCTGGGGAGGGGAAGAACAGTCCTAACTTAGCAAAAATCCCATGCTTATGGTGAAAACTGAAATAGTTTCTCTTATGGAGACAGTGAAGTCTTATAGATACATTTAAACAGATCTTTTTCTGAAGTTTTTTTTATCATGGTGGGTTAGCCTTTTACAAAATTTCGTGCTGCAGAACTTTGTTTATTTATGTAACTGAAATATTACCATGCTTCTAATTTATGAGCTTTAGTGAGACAGCACTATCTGGCGTGGTTCCAGTATGATTCCCTTAATTATTGACCAAAGCCCCACTAGAAGGATGTTTTAAAGGGATGCGAAGTCTTTTCTGCTCTGAGAGCATCTATTGTTCTTTCAGTAGTTTTCACTAGGTTTTTTGGGTTTTTTTAAAGAAAAATATCCATTGAAGTCAAAGAACATACCTCAGATTTGATGCCACTTTATACTTTGAAGTCAGCTTGGTGCTTGGAGTAACCAAGAGCAGTATCTGGCTTCTCAGCTCAGTTTTGTGACAGAATACTACTCAAATGAGTAATTCAATTTAGTAAAACCATTTTATAACTACTGTAAATCTTCACTCAAATCACTCATTAGGTGTGATTACTTTGAGACTAAAGTGTCTGCAAATTTTCATCAAGGTGCTTTTATAGAACACAGTTTATAAAGGCTTTACATTGCAAATCATCGGGTTTCTAATGCAGTAATAATTTGGGGAATGCTCTAAAAAAAATAATCTGACGCATGGATGTCTTTAAAAATTGTGGTGTGACACCCAACTGATATCGAGCATCCTATTTATAATGTGGGCCAAGCACCATGCTGTAAACCAGTTCCTATCATGATGATCAGATTGAGAATGAAATTGCATTTCTGTCAATTACTGAGTTGGCAACTGTTCAATATATCTTAGCAGCAAGATGAAGAGCGGCGTCGGCAGCTGAGAGAGAGAGCTCGTCAGCTAATAGCAGAAGCTCGATCTGGAGTGAAGATGTCAGAACTTCCCAGCTACACTGAAATGGCTGCAGAAAAGTTGAAAGAAAGGTCAAAGGCATCTGGAGGTGAGCTGAGGAACCTTGTATCTTATTCCTATGGCAACCTAGAAACCAGAGACCTTTTTGGGTGTCACTTTTATTCGCACTTCAAAACGTTGTTGTTCATCAGGTGAACGTATCAAAAGACCTGTCCATAGATGTGTTTCCTAAATCTGTGTTGTGTCACCTAATTTCCAACAGTTAAAAGAAAAGCATGCATGTGGTTGAAAGAAAAATATGTTGTGTGAACGAGTAGCACCTGTTGGCCCATTATTTACAGATTTCTCGTTACGCACAGTTTCCTAGAATTTCATGGTTGTTGGTTCTCTTCAATATATATTTTTATATAGGAACATGGATATAATTTTGGGGAAAAAGAACATTTGAAATATTTCAGAAATGTTGTTTTATATTAAATGTGTTCAAAAGAAGAGAATTTTAAAGATAGTCTGTGGGAGGTAGGGGCAACAACCTTTTGACTTTAAATGGCAGTCTTTTGACAGACCACTTGCTTTTACAGGTTTTGAGTTGTAACATTGCTATAATGTTATTAAGCTGACTTTGAAATACCATTAAAATTCATATACCTGCCATTGCTATGAGCTGGAGTAATATAGTGTCACTCAAACTCAAATGGGTGCTGAGCACACGTTTCAGTGCAGGCTTCTTGCTCTTTTAATGTCTTCTACATATTCTAAAGGAAATAGTGTTTCTCAAACTAACTTGTCATCATAAGCCAAAGTGTAAGGAAAATCCAGCTTGGTACTGACAATGCATGTAGAGTCAACAAAAATATTTCTTCTCTACTATGTGTATTTTGTATGCCTAAATATTTAAATACAGTCTTACTGGCCCCTAAGCCCTACACTTCTGTTCCGTTTAACACCAAAGAGAGAGCAGAGAGTTGTACATCTCCCTTTGAGTCTGGTCTTCAGTTTTGCTCTCTTTGCCCAGTAAACCAAGCTGGCCAGCATAACTCTCTTTTGTGACAAGTAGAGAAATTATATCCTTGATGGCAGTAAGGCTGAGCCAAATGACACAAGACTTGGGTGTTACCTAGGCCAGGGTGTTCCTCATCCCTCTTCACAGTTCATGATTCCCCATCCTACATTATTTCATTACTTCCTTCTCCTTGTGTCATCATGCCTGTGCATAGCTGTTCCTGCCATACCTTCTCTCAAAGTAAGGTCTCTGTCTGGTTCTATCCTGGGTGCTCAGCTGGATAACAGTGGCCCTCTTTTGTTGCAGAGACTCAGTTGTAGAGTTGCTAAATATCCCAGTGTGCTGCTTTCTGGAATGTGGTCATCCTGTTCATATTTTCCTCTGTATTTTGCCATTTCTCTTCCTGCCCTTCTTGCAATTGGTAAGCAGTCAGAGAGATAGCTGTGAATATATATTAAAAGAAAACTGTATTTGTAGGGGGAGATTGCATATGCACCCAGAGAGTTTAGTATTACTAAAAGAGCAGACAGTATCAGCACTGATGACAACTCATTTATAAAGCAATCACCACTCTACCTATTGGGTTTTATTCAGCACAGCAATTTCCCAGCTTTCTACTTTTGAATTGATTTATACTTCCTACTTGGATATTTTTTTTTGTTCATGCAATAGTTTGGCCAATCTTTTTGAACTTCTCTTGGACATAAAGTTTTCATTCTCTGTCTTGTTTTATCCGTCTTTGCTCTTTTCGTGTCAGTGTGCATTTTATAGCATTTTCTTCTGCTTCCTCCTTCTCAAAAGAGTTTTCTTTATGGCACTTCTTCCACATAATTCTACCACACCAGTATTTTCAGGTGCTACACCAGATTTCCCCTGAAGAAATTAATTTTTCTAAAATATAGTAGTGAAATGGCACCAACACTTTACAGACCAAATTAATTGGAATTGTTTCTGTGTTTAGTCTTTTTGATTTTTCGATTTCCACCAAAAATTAGGATTTGATAGACAGTCTCTTTATTACTGCTGGACTTTGAATGTTTCCCCTAACATTTTTATTGTGTAGATTCCTGTATTCCCTACACAATACCCAAGACAAGCTTATTATCTTGTGTTTTCTGAGCTCTCTTGTCGATTATACATTGTTAATCTCTTCTTCTGCATTGATTGCAATTACTTTTTGATTTACAAAAAGGAAATGTACCAAATAATTTTACTCTCAATTCAATTATTTCAGAAGAAAGTGGAATTTCAGCTCTGGGATTCTGTAGTCTTTAAAGACTAACTTCTTCCTTACAACTGTAGGTAAAAGCATGATCTCTTTCATTGTTTCTATGTGCTCATTAAGAATTTCACGCTTTGGCACTGCTGCAATATTCTTTGTTAAAAGGTTTTATTTAACCAAGGTCTGAGAAACTCAAATGACTATGGCAAGTTGAAACTTTCCTGGATAAGCAGCATCCCTAGCTATGAAATCCAGTCTTTTTCATAAGTTATTTGGCATGTGAGACAGAAAATACTGCAGAAATTCTTTTTGCCAACTGCCAGAGGGTTTGGGATGGCAGCTTCAAATTTGTGAGATGTCCTATTAGCTTCGGGCCGATAAGCGTATGCCTTGAGATGGATCCAGGGACAGTATCGAGATAGAGATCCAAATATCCCCCCTTTTCCTAGCAGCACCAGGACAACAGAATTGACACATTATCTAGGAATTGTCCCTGAGCAGTGGAGCACCCGTCTGCTCTTCTGGGATTTGGGTGGTGTGTTTTCTTTACTCTCTGGCACATCTCCATCCTTTATTTGAGCTGGCATCGGTGTGAGGAAGTGGCTCGGACCTGGGGGTGGTGAGGGCAGGGTATGTTCAAGATCTCACTTCTGAGGCAATGATCTTCAGGGAGTGTATGTGGTGGCACAGCCTTACTCATCATGCTTAGTCTCCAACTCATGGAGCGAGTGTTAGGTCCTTAATATTTTTAGCAGGCAGTGTTTCTATCTGGCGACAGTTACTGCTGTAATTTCTTGTCCCGACCTCAGGCTTCTTGTACACAGAACCAGTATTTCAACTCTGCATTTCTTCCATTCCCTGCCTTTGCTGCCTTTATTACTGTGCCCAGGCTCCTGTCACATCCTGTAGCCTTAAAGAGAACTCTGTACCTGGAAGTAAATAAACTAAATATCTCAAAATCCACAAGCCTGAAGGATTTCCCAGAGACAATGCTCAGGGTTGGAGATATCTTCCCTGAAGAGAAAGTGCTGTTTGTGCAGCTTCTCCCAGTCATGTGATCCGGCCCCCATCAGTGCTTTTGCTTCACTATGAAAATTATTCCTTTTTCTTTTAATCTAGAAATTGATGCAGTCAGCTGCAAATCCTTTGCGTGTGGACAAGCTTCAGCCAAGTCAAGAGAATATCAGTTTAACAACAAATTAGGCCTGACCTTAATCTGAGTAGTAAGACATAAGAGCTATAAAATGCCTCTGGGTCCCTTTCCACTAATATTCTGGCATTTCCACATAGTTCCAAAAGATACTTATTTCCCTCTCTCCAGTCCAGTCTGAAATCCATGCTGTGCAGGAGATGGTCAGTGCTTTTAAGTTGTTGACTCAATCCTTTATCTTTGATTTTGTTCATTCCTTCATGACATAGCAAAGCTGTACTGTTTTTCTGGGATTCAGATTTACATACTTTCCAAGGAAGCGGTACTTCAGTCCTTCAGTCGTTTTCTAAATATCTGCCCTGGTTCTAGATCAAGTGCTTTAAGTTTTTCACACTAGCAATTTGTTCTTTTCATCAAAGATATCTGTTATCTCTTCGTCATGTTGTTCCTTTTATCATTTATAATTGCAAAATCTTGTTGTAACATGCTGCCTAAACACATTTCCCTTTTAATACACTGAAAGAACATTGAACCGGAAAAAAACCCTAGAGTAATTTAAATCAAGGAATCTAGATTTTTAAAGATACTTGAAAAATTCTGAAATGACTTCAAATTACTGCTTTTAATTGATTTTTTAAAAATAAAGTGTAAATGTCCTGATAATCATATTCAGTCAAAGTCTGCCAACTTTAAATTAAATACTAGGTCAGGTCATTATCTGATACTAGAAACTGGTGTCTTCCACATTGCCATCTCTTTTGTTTCTTAAAATGGTGGTGTCAAAGGCAGTGCCTCTGATCTCATCTTGCTATATTAAATTAAAGAAAATCAAATAATCTAATATAAGCATTCTCTTAGTATGCAGGAGTCTTAAATCCTGTCATCTTGTTTAGATTGTTTTGACACATCTAGCATGAGGTGGGATGACTAGTAGCTGTGAGCTGACCTTGTGAGCTGACTCCTTGGGTGATTCCAAAAGTCATTGCCTGCTTTTAGGCTCCAGGTGGATTTGGTTTCCCACTGCCATGAGGGTGTCTCTTTCTTCCCTTCTACCTCTTCCAAATGTCCACAGTAGCCCAGTCATGCTTTCAGTGTGCCCCTGTGAACTCCAGGATGTATCTGAGAGTACCATGGCCTGAGTGCCACTGAATTTCTCCAACACCATCATGAAGGATTTATAATGGTGTGCAAAGCTCCTCATCAGAAACGGTAGAGCAGCTTTGAAGGAAATTCAAAACCATCAAAATTGCTGCTGTTGTTGCTTTACCATTCTCTGTTTTCTCCTCAGTCTGCTTTTTATCCCTTTACTTTTTGTCCTTTTTCCGCTTCCTGAAGATCATGCTGTACCATTCTACTTTTTTCACTTATCTCTGCACTTCCTGAAGCAGCAGGAGTCCAGATCCCAGGATCACCTGTGTGAGTTTAAGTGGAAACAGAGGGGAGTGTCTCAGAGAGTTGGGAGTGTTTCTGCCCATCCACTTACACACCTGAAGCACAGTCTGTCAGGTCCCAGATCTTGGATTGGCTGCAAGGAGATGTTCTTCTCCATCACTCTGGCTCAGTCTGGGGCAGCTTGGAAGAAAGCTGTGTCTTCTAGAGACCGAGGAGAATACATGGAGGGGAACCCAGGGAAGTCATGGTGCTCAGCTGAAGCACAGGGGTCCTGCTTCACAGCTGCTGCTCCATCACACACACAACTGATGTTGGATAAGTGGGACACTGACATGGGAACCTCTTTGCTCCTGTCTGTGGCAGCAAGAGCCTTACCCTGTATCAGCGGAGGTCTGTGAAAGATGTTGATTAGTTACAGGGCAATTGAGGGAGCAGCTGGTTAGAAAAAAGTAGTAGGCATAAAAAAATCAACAGGCTCCTGAAATGGGAATTCTAGGTGCTGTGGAAATAAAGGGATAAAGATGCAGTTGTATGACCTTCATGACAGCAGTGTGGGCCTAAAGTGCAAGCTCCAGGGCTGGGAATGAGGTTGAGTGGTCAGCACCAATCCGGGTCCAAACCTCTGGGATTCAGAATTATGGCATCTGGGTACTATCTTTAGGATCCTTTTTGTTTATATGATGTTTGAATATATCTATGTCCTTTATTTATAATTTGTATTTTTTTGTCCTGTCTTAGATACTTTAAAGTTCCTTTAGTTACTGTCTTGTTTCTTCAGATGTACTTTAGCCTACTCCTTTTTATCATTTTTACGCACATGCATGTGTACATAGGAAAAAAATGTTAGTGGAATTCTGAACAAGTGTAGAAACCATTTGATATGAGATCTAAAAGTGAGTAAATACAATGTATCTACTTACTTTGAAAGTACTAATCTAGCTTTTATGGACTTGAATTTCATTATATATTTGTATTGAAAATGTGAGTCAGGATTTTTTCTGGGATCTGCTTCACAATTCAGAACTTGCTATCTGATCTTCTTCAGGTTACTTACTCTTTCTGTGCCATAATTTACCTACATCATCATCATAATTGTAATTATAATAATTGCCTACTTCATAAGACGTTATGGGGCTCATTTATGTGTTATATTCATAAGCTGCTCTGAGAAACTTGGTAGAAAGATCCTATAAAAATATAATTGCAATTGTTATTTTTTTTTAAATGTGTGTAGGTTACAAACAATGCTGATGAAAAGTAGTGCAGTAAAGCACTTTTAACTTATTCATCAATGACTTGGATAAAGGGGCAGATGCCTGCTCAGCAAGTTCACTGGTGCCAGGAAGGTGGGAGCAGTGGCTGATACCCTAGAGGGCTCAGAGCCCTTCAGAGGGACCTCGACAGCCTGGAGAGATGGGCAGGGAAGAACCTCCTGGAACTCAACAGGGGCAAGTGCAGGGTCCTGCCCCTGGGGAGGAGCAGCCCCAGGCACCAGCACAGGCTGGGGTGAGCTGCTGGGCAGCAGCTCTGCACAGAAGGAGCTGGGGGTGCTGCTGGACAACGAGCTGTCCATGGGCCAGCCGTGCCCTGGGGGACAAGGAGGCCAAGGGGACCCTGGGCTGCATTGGGAGCTGCATTGCCAGCAGGTCAGGGAGGAGATCCTGCCCCTCTGCTCAGCCCTGGGGAGGCCAGTCTGGAGTGCTGTGCCCACTTCTGGGATCCTCAGGACATGAGAGACGTGGAGCTCCTGGAGAGGGTCCAGCAGAGAGTGACAAAGTTGATGAAGGGACTGGAGCACCTCAGTTGTGAGGAGAGGCTGTGGGAGCTGGGCCTGCTCAGCCTGGAGAAGAGACCCTGAGAGGAGGCCCATCCTGTGGTTTTGGGAAAGCAACAATGCATGAGTGTGCTCTCTGTGCACCTGACAGAGTTGCTTACTGAGATTCCAGTGGTAGCATTCCTCCTAGTACCAGAAGGAGACTTTAAAACCTAGGCAAGGTGCAGTGATCACTGCTCTGGGATGTACTGTACATCCCAGGTACATCCTGGGAGGAGCAGGTGAGGAGCAGCAAGTCTCACCAAGCTGGGAACTCAGTACCTGGAGCCTTTCTGAGGAGACAGGAGCTCAAGGTCCTTCTGCTGCCCAGACCCATCTGAACCTACCACATGGCAGTTTTGGCACCCATCCTGCAATATGGAGAACTGGGAGCCTGGGGGAAACCATTTTGATTCAAGTTACGCAGAGGTTCAGCGCAGGGAACAGCCCCTGCTGAGGCCAGACTCTGTCTTTATTGGAGCAGGAGTTTCCAGCAGAGACCCCCATATGTTTAATGAATTGCCTCAGTTTAAAGACACATCCAGAAGTGGACAGACTGGAGTCTCCTTCCAGACTTATTTAATTATTTGCATTTTTATCCTAACTCAGCTTGTTTCCTAAAGCATTCATTTTTTTTGAGTGATGTGTTGCATGTACATATGAAAATACTAACCTTAATGCTGTGTGTTCCTACAGATGAGGATGAGGATGATGATAATATTGAGATAGATACTAATGAGGAGGCTCCTGAATGCTCTGTTACTGGAGGTGGAGATGAACTTACTAACCTAGAAAATGACCTTGATTCAACGGGTAATTTAAATAATGGCTATTTTGTGTATTTTGCATGACTAACACTCCATCATCATATAAATACTGATGTGCTGCTTGTCTCTCTGTCAGCTTTATTCCCGTATGCCTTTTCACGTCTCTTAAGCCCTAATGTTTAATATCCTGCATTCATGTTTAGTTGAAATTTAAAATCAACTAAGTTAATTCCAGCAATGTCAGATTTAGATGGCTCTTGCTGTTTTGATGGGGAAGGGGGCCCTAGGCCACACTGGTGGAGCAGAGCCACCTGAAGGCACCCTGCCTGGGTTGTGCCACGTAGGCAGAGGGATGAGCAATTGTGTGGCAACTACAGCTGCCACTCTGCACTGCCATCCTGGCCCCATCTGCTCAGGGGAGAGGAGAAAATATGTCTTTCTGTGTTCATATAGACCTGGTGTCTCTCTGGTTCCTTATGAGGACCAGTTCTTGGTTGCCCCAGAGGGGGGCATGGAGGTATAAATGTGAGCAGAAGCAGTCCTATTTACTTAACAGTGTTCAAATAAATACCAAGGGGTTTATAAACACATGAAGTCACAGGAGTATTATTCCCCCCTTTCAAAAATCTTCAAGCCCAGCCAGAGTTTAAGTGATAAATGTGTTGCTGAATATGTTGGAATCCTGCAGTTAGCTCAGGCCTGGAGTAGCTTGGCCAGCACAGGACTGTCTTGAAACAGGCAGTACAAGAGAGACTATCTTCAGCATCCTCTAGCTTGATCCTGCCCATACCAGCTAGATCCAAATGTGTAGTCCATAATATGTTAAATCAAAGCCTTATTTAGTGTTTTTTTCTTTGTAAATTAAACCAACAGTGGTGTCTGTATAGCACTTTGTAGTCTTGTTTGCATGCAAAAGTTTTGAGTGATGTCCTTTATTTTTTTCTATTTGAGGATTTCCAGACACATAAGAAAAAATATTTTTTGTGTCTCCAGCACTTGAATTTAGCTTACTTAAATCAGAATACTGTCAAATAATATTCCAATAAAAACTGGTTAATTTTAGAAGGAAGATAAACTGAATAAGTGAATATTCCTGTCCCATTGCCCAGTGACCCACCAACATTTATTTCTGTGGGCCTTTTTCTCTGAGAGGTACTTTTTCATGCATACCAACCCACTGCCCAGTTCTGCATGTCCACCATGGGCAGACATCCTGGAAAAGACCTGGGACATCATTTTGCAGTTCAGTCTGCACGATAGCCAGAGGTACAGACAAGTAAGAAAGAAGATGGGCAGTAATACAGAAAGCAGTCTAGTACTGTGGTAGAAATCCAACTATATGGATTTTGGTTTAAATCTGCCAGTCATACCAAGTATAGGCTGAATCTCCTGGGAACACCTAAAAGTATAACTGTTCAGTGACATTTCAGATGTGGGATCATTATGGACCATCTTAATTAGTCCCCTGCTGAATCTTAGCCCCTCTTATCTCTCTCAAGAAGAGAAAACTTGGTTTTACTCCTTCTTGGTTTTAAGTACTGCTGCTGTCTGTATTTGTCTGTGTTTCTACGTGTTGTGAACCTCTTATATCATGGTTATTACATGATGTTTATGGATAAACCCACGAGAACGTGCATGTACTTACATGTGAGCCTCAATTAAGGACACCCTGACTGGGTGTGCCAGAGGAAAGGGAAACTATCCTTTTTCATAATCCAGCCAAGCCCATTGCTGCTGGAGACAGGCAGCATTTGACTGCCCACATGCCAAAAATGTTTTGGCTAATGTGCATTGGAGCACTCCAAACCTTGGAAGGAGCTGTGTGGCTAAACAGTCATGACTCTACTTTCCACACCAGCTAGAAGTCACCACCCTGCAGTGAAAAACTCAGGTTGTGCATGTGGGAAAACACAGAACTGCTCTTTCCTCTGCCTGTGGCCCAAGGCCCAGGTGTAAGTGCATCCCATGTGCAGGTGATGCTCTGCTGGCTCCAGTGCAGGGGTGATTCCTCCCGTGGGGCTGCATGTAGAGTGTGTGTCTGGGGGCTTCTGTTCCAGTGTTCCTCTGCTTCCCTGCCCAGGGACAGCTCCACAGATTGTGCTGCAGCTTGCTGTTAGCACCTTCCTCCTCCTTACACGTGTGTGTGTGTAGGTAACTCCATGTGTAGGTGTGTTGCAAATTCATACAGTCAACATTCACATACAGAATGAGTATTAGTGCGAGGTAAAGTTCTCAACTGCTATTTGTTTGGGCTCTGATCCAAGTTGCTAAAATTGATTAAAAAATTTGAGAGCTTCAGGAGACTTTGAGTCTGTCCCTTTGGTGCAGTTCTGAAGCATTTTATGACTCCTAGTTTCACCATATTCTATGAATCATAGTAAATTATTACTAGAAAGTAGTCTTTTTTGATACTGAAATTTTATGAGAAGCTATGCCGAGAAGCCTCAGGATGAATTAGTAGTTCAGAAACTTGTTCAGAAACATACATACTCAGTATGTAAATTATATGATAAATTGTCATCTTTAAATAAATGGCTTTTTAAGTGTGTTTTTATACCAAAGTATAGGTATGTACCCATTGGGAGTAACTTTAAACATTATCTACTCTCTGTGTTTTTCATCTGCTGTCTGCAAGCATATTTACTTGTTCAGCTAAGTGTCGTGTATGTTTTCCAAGAAAAAAATCTGTGTATGTTACACAAACCTGCACCAATCCCAATCACAAAAACAATTCCTTCTATTTTTTTTAAGTTCAAAATGATAGCAAAGTGAATTAAATCTACCTTTTAAATTGCTACATTGTTGTAGCAAGCCTGCATTGAAATGCATCTCACTCTGTTGTATGTGGTATTTGCATATTTAGCAGAACAAAACAGTAAGTTGGTGGATTTGAAGCTGAAGAAGCTCCTAGAAGCTCAGCCACAGGTGGCAAATTCACTCTCCAGTGCTGCTCAGAAAACTGTAACAGATAGCTCAGAGCAAGACATTAAGGTAAGTTTTTCTTAATGCTTTTGTTTTGGTACCTATGTGTTATGATCAAGGGTTTGTATTTTGTGAGGATGAAAACAATTTCCTACCAAATCTTTCAGAGTCAAAAACACAGAAAATCTTCATGGCAGTGCAGTTAGGTTTGCAGTGCACTGAGTTTTTTCCTGTTGATTGATCAACACTTTTTTTTTTTACCCTTAATCTTGATACTTGTCATTGGCAGAACACTAACAGCTATACGAAGCTCTCTCAATTCTGCCTGCTCAGGTTGTTACTGATATCAGAAATGCAGCACGGGCTCCATCCTGCTGCTGGTGCAATCAGCAGCTGGACTACCTGACCTGAATGGGAGTGGGGTTGGACTCTCAGAGATTTGCTTCCCTCCCAGTCCTGGTCCTCTATTTTTCCTACATTAAAATTAAGCTGGGGTACACTTTAAAGGCTTACATACTTTGGGTGCTCGATGAGTGCTTCTGAGAAAAACAGACATGAGCATGTAGTGTATATGGGCACTTTGCCTATTCTTAATGTTCACCACTTCAGCATAAAGTGCCCACCAATCAATTTTCCATTTCATTTTCTTAATTAGACCCCTTTTGTTCTCGCTATTCTATTTTTTAAAAATAGTCCCTGTATGTCATTAATACCCCTATGGCTCTGGGGCACTTCCAGTTGGGTATAACTTTTCACCCACCTGCAGTCTGTGGGGAGAGCGCTGCTGACTGAAAGGATTTCCTTCCCCAGATACAGAGATGCTTTGAAGTCCCAAAACAATGACTTTCATTGCTTTTCCCTTACACTGTCGGTTCCTATAAATTGGTGATGAAAGTGTGTGGCAGCAGCAGAGGACTTTCGGTCTCTATCTTTGAACAAAAGGAAGCCTGGATCAAGTCTGATTTTTGCGTTCAATTTAGCTTTCTGCAGTGGATTTAATGCAAAATGAAGCTGGCCCAAGAATAATACAATGGATTGAAAAGGCTAACTGAATTAGTGGGCTTAGAGGAATACATTTGTAAAGTGGCAGAAGTCCCCAGTCATAAAAAGGTTTCTTAAAATGGGATTTACTAGCTAATCACACTGATATTTTAGCATGTTGCCAGGCCTAAAAAATTAGCCATGTTTGTTTATTTTGGTAAAGACCCTAGTTTAGGCTGTCAGATGGTTATTCTACTAATAACAAGAAACCACCTTTTATTTAACCAAAATCTTATAACCACCTGACTAGTGCAGCTGAAAACTCATCCAGAGGTATAAGCATTACTTGTTTAAGCCTTAATTCTGTGAAATGACCACAGGCTGCCTCTTAGGGTAATTTGGTATCATCTAACCTAACAAAAATTGTATTTCTGTATAAAAAGCATTTGTGAAGGAGTTGATTTTTTTTCTAAGGTTCTCCCACAAAAAGGTGCAACTTAACAGTTTATCTCTGCGTGCGTCTTTTCTAAGGAAGAGTTGAAAGGCGGCGTTATAAGGAATATATGGTACCCATCTGTTCTCATGGAGCTCTTGGCATTGAGGTGGATTTGTTTTTTAATAAAATGCAGTTTACAGGTTTCTAAATGAGGCATTCTGTGTTTGTGGAAAAGGATAAACTGTTACCTTCCCTTGGGGATTGTGTATCCCCGGCCTCCTTGAGGCGAGAGAATAGGCCGTTGGAGAACTCCCTCATTACCGATTGTCTCAATGCAGAGGAAGGGCAAAGTCTTGGTAGCTTTTGATAACCAGTTTCAGCATTCAGCAGGCTTAGCTATTAGTCATGCATCTTAGCCTTTCCCTATTTACTTTCAAAACACTTAATAAAAATAATAAAAGATTAGGTATAAAATGAAATATTTGTTTGGTACACAGCACCTCGGTATCTGCAGCTTCCACACACCACAGTGGTTCAGTCTTCTGGGATATTTTGTGTTGATAGAATCATTTGAATTTGTTACCAGTATTAACATAGGAAGCCCTGGAAAAGATAATTGTAGTTTCCTTAGCTGTAAAGGGCTTACTTACAAATCTGGCTTTGGAAAGTTATAGCTGATGAAATGCAGTTCAGTGGGGTAGCATTATAATCCTACCTTTTAGACTTCATCCAGCATTAGTGGTTTATCTCAATGGGCATAAAATTAGAAACTAGTTCTTCTTGTCATACAAGTCTATGGGACTACAGAAAACAACAGATTTCTGTACCGGGCAGGGAGAGAGGCTAAAGGCAACACGCTTTAAAATGATACAGATCGTGTTCAGGGGCAGAGACGCCGCGACTTGGCAGCAGCACGCGCAGGGCTTGGCACAGCAAAGGTGCAAAGGAGCGAGTTTTTGTTTAAAATGGGCATCGCTGGCAAATGCCAGTCACAGTGAAGAGGTCTGCTTGGTAAAGTAGTAGAGAGTTCTGCAGGAGGGTGCCCACAGAGCAAAAAGCCAGTCATTGCCACCACATATTAAACAAAAAAAAAAAAAAAAAAAAAAAAAAAAAAAAAAAAAAAAAGTTAATCACTGTTCTGCTTCTTTCCCCGCAGCTGAGTCTTCCATCCAATATAAACCACGGCCCGAGTTGTGAAATCCACTTCGTAAAATCTGTGTCCTGTCCCCTCACAAAAACGTACCTTTCAAATTAATGTCTTCCCGCTTGTAAACAAAAGAAACTGTTGTGTGTCTGTTTTTTTCCCAGCAGAATGGAACAGAGGAACATCGTGCTGAGCGATCACAAAAAGCAGCAGAACGGTTTAGAAATCCCGTTGTGTTCAGCAAGGACTCGACCGTCAGGAAAACTCAGCTCCAGTCTTTCAGTCAATACGTGGAGAGCAGACCAGGTAGGAGAAAATATAAAACCTGTTTTCCCATCTTATGATTTAATAATATTTAACAATAAATATATGAAAACCCGATAATGTAAGTCCACATTTCAATACATAAATATCAAGCTTTATAATAATTTTACATGTCTTTTCCCTTTTTTCAAGAGATGAAAAGGCAGAGATCAATACAGGAAGATACAAAGAGAGGAAATGAGGAGAAGGCTGCGATAGCTGAGACTCAGAGGAAGCCATCAGAAGATGAAGTGCTTAATGTATATTAATTTTTTGTCTGGTTTCATGATTGCTGATAATTCCAAACTGTATGTGGAAATAGTGCCTTTATTTGTTAAAATGAGATGTTAGGGTTTTTTAGATGTCAATCTCCAGTGCATTCAAAGCAGAGTGAGAGGGGTGCACTGTTGAATTAGTCTGCAGTGTGGTGATAATTGTCAGATAAAAAAAATGAATTTTTCAGAGTTCCACAGCCCCAGCTTCCTTGAGACATTTCCATCAGGGCACTTCCCATAAAGAGATTCCAGTATTGATCTACCGGGAGGATTTTAATTATTACAATAGCAGATACCGCAGAGCTGCAGTTAGAGGGAAGAGTCACATGAGACCTGCTAGAATTTCTCAGCCAACCCATTTTGTTGGCTTGGGTTAATGGGTGTTCAACCTTTCCATTATCCAGATCAGCCGTGAATTACTAGCTGAATGATGTTTGCATTAATATAATATATATGGTAATTTCTTCACTTAATTAACGGGGAGGTTCAGCTCAGTAGGGGTATGGGCTGATCATGTGTAAAATTGATTTGTGAGGGAAATATTTGATAGACCGCAGGGAGAAAGCTGGTTTTGATGGACAGCTGCGGGACAGAAGCAGGAAGAACCAAGTTTTAACCTGAATGTTTTTTTGTCTGAAAGCGCAACACAGCCTTTGAGGGTGGTTGTTTGTTGGTCTCCACAGTTTATCTGAACACATTTGTCGTTTTTGCTGAGGCAATCTGGAGCGGAGTAGCAATTTTGTACTGCTGTCATATCTACACCAAAACATCGAACTTTTTACAAGCTGGAGTTATTTTTAGCCCAGTAGTACTTTTGCAGAGCTGAAAAGGTCTGGCACAGTGAATTCACATTATATATGCAGATGATACACATGAACTCTTGGGATATTACAGCCTGACACAGCATTTCTTTTCATCTTCTAATAGCAATTGTTAACAATTATACATGCTGACATTAGGGAAGTTTTCATACTATTTTCAATTAATTATAGTTGATGAAAGGCAATATATTGCACATCACTTCAACTCCCCAGACAGAATTTTTTTCTGTCTTCAGGGTCTGCTCTCAGGGAGTTTTGGTTTTGTTGTTGCTGTTTTTCTGGCTATACAACAGGTAGAAGAAGGTTTTCCATTAGGGATGCTACTGTTGGCTGTTGTGTAGGAAGAGGGGGACCAGATTAATGTCCTTAAATTTGGATAACCCAAATTTCAAAGTTCTGTGCTCATTGCTGGTCCTGGGTGCTCATCCATGCTGTTAACTTTCATTTTGAGCATGTATTTATTTGAACTAATATGCTGATGTGTTTATTATGCCTGCTGCCTGAATAGGAAGCTGAATTGATTATTTCAGACACATTTACAGAAAAACAACTGAAAGTGTTCAGTGGAAGTGTGAGACCCTTATGCAGCAACAAGTTAGCCTCTAGTAGGGAAATAAATCTCAAAAAAGAAAAAGCCTGTGTATTTTTCTCTTCACAAGGACAGTGATTTTTGTTTCTTTCTTTACAGGGTGTAGATGAAACATGAAATAATTTTGTCAGGGTTTTTTTTTAACCTATTTAAAACATTCACCCAGGCTCTGGCTCAGGTGTAGGAGGAAAAAAGTTCATGGAAGGTTACTTGGAAAGAGTAGTATGTTTTTCTTAACTTATGCAAAAACATGCTTTAGGAATTACATTTTAGCATTGTGTACAGCCACAACACTGTGAAAGTTGTTGAGCCACATGAGAATAACTTAGAGGTACTGGATGCCTTTGCTTGGGCTCCTGCGAGACGGGCAAATGGCTTTGGAAACGCTTGGAGATCTGTGTGGTGATGTGCAGGGCAGTGCTGAGGATCTACAGGGTACAAGAGGCAGACTTGGCTTGTTAGAGTGTTCCCACAGCTTTCTTGGTAAGGTTCAGTAGGATTTATCAACGTGGCATCCCTGGGCTGCCTCCTGGCCGGGTGTGGTTGGTGCAGAGGCAGGACAGCTCAGGCTGGTCCCTGTGCACCCGAGTGCCTGCCCAGGGCCTTGTCGCCACTTTCCAGGATAAGAGTTGAAGTTAATTAGTGGTGTTTTTAGAGATCACCCTGCAGGCAGGCCAGTTCCTTCAGTCAGGGAAACCCAGAGGGGCAGGATGGCCCAGGCTGGGGGTCCTCAGTGCTACATTTGGCTCAGAGGAGCTAAACAAGCCAGGGATCTTGTTTGGGGTTTGGTTTTAATCTTAAAAGCCCACTTTTTAATTGTCATTGGACACTCTTGTGCTAGTTTTTCTAGCCGTGAAAGTTAATGTTTTAAAACTGAATCAGACCTGAATGGAGTAGAAATGGCACATTAAATAGTGCTTTATTTGTATTACCTTTCTTTTCATGGCACTTTGTTACAGCAGCTTTTATGCACTTAGAAATAAATTAAAGGAATTTCAAAATAACTGCTAGCTAGTAAAAAAACTGCAAAATCAAATGTTCCCTAAGGAAAAAAACCCAGGATATTTTAATAAACAAATAAGAATATTTGGCAAAATTGTAAAGTTTATGAAATGTGTTAGCTTTTTGGTAGTGAGCATGATATTTGGTTGTTTAGGTAAGTGCCTTACTAAGTGTTTGTGGAAAGGAAAAATGCAACTTACAAGTGATGTTTTTTCTTCTTGTTTGTTCTCTTTAACAGAAAGGGTTCAAAGACACCAGTCAGTATGTTGTAGGAGAATTGGCAGCACTAGAGAATGAGCAAAAGCAAATTGACACCCGTGCCGCGCTGGTGGAGAAGCGCCTTCGCTATCTCATGGACACAGGTACGGTGCCCAATTACACTGTAAACAGTTTTGGCAAATTGAGCGTTCACAAACTCTTATAGAGTTTTGGAAGTGTGAATCTTTGAAGCCTGAATGTTCAGCAAAACTGCCTTGAAAATAAAAAGGCTGCGATTTGCAGCCACCTCTCTGGGCCCTGGTGATAAGAGTGCCTTCATGGGAAGTGATAACTTGCCCTGATACCGTGTGAGCCAGCACTATTGAACAGTGTGCTCATCCATGCAGAGTTGGAATACACATCTGTGCCTCATTGATATGCCACTGCTTAAAAAAAAAAAAAAGGAAAAAAAAAGGAAAAAAGTAAGATCTTCACTGTTCTACTGATTCAGTGGGAAAAAAAATTTGGCCAGCTAAAGCCATGTACTGCATGAAACAGCGCAGTACATGGAGGAAGGCTCCATTGACTAGATCACTGAAATTTAAGAATACTATCTGGTTACTGATGCTCCACAATTATTTTATTTGTTTATTTTCAGGAGGATAGATTTTAAAAGTCTGTAATACTTGGTGTTGTAGGTGCCATTGAAAGGATTTAAATATATGGGCAATTTTTTGTTGAAAGCATAATGGTTGTGACTTCAACAATGAACTTTAGATGGGTATTAAGTGCTGGTGGTCATCAGAGATGGAGAGGTTAAACCATATCAATTGGAAACAAAAGGTGCTTTGGTGTTTCAAAAATAAATAGTGTTGTAGATTCAAAAAATGTTCTTCATGTCCAGGGGGAAAAAAAGTTAGTTGGTCCAGATTACTTTGTGGGTAAATTGTGTTTTTAAGTTATGTGGGTATTTGATGTCATAAACTTAAAGCCCATCTTTAACTGAAATTATAGGTTTTAAAGTATATTGAATCCAGTGTTGTGTTTTGTAAAACAGATTAATTGACTTCAGTTAAAGTTCAATACTTTGAAATGAGCCTGCTACTTGTATCCAAATATTAGGGTGGTTTTTTTCAACGTATTTACTTTCTCACCTGCTGAGGTTGTTTGATTTTTTAAATTAATTTTACAAAAACATGTAAATCAGAAACTATTTCAATGCTGACTGGATGCTTGTTTAGTAGGACTGTTACCTATTATGGTCTTTTGAAGCACTTTTTCAAATGCATTGCGTCTTGATCTTTAGTTATTTAGCTGGAAAAAATGTGTGTGTATTGTCCTGCACTTTCTCATGTACTTTTTTGTATTTGTGAAATCTATGTTCTGCACAAAAGAGCCAGTATAATATTTCACAAGTCTTATATGTACTCCAGATACTACCTATAGATACATATGGAGTCCTCAGCATAGCACTTGGGGATTTAAAAAACTCTAATAAGCATGATATTATTTTATTTATGTAATTTCTTCCATTTTAAAAGAGATTTCTTACTGATTTTAGTTTCTCGTATTTTGAAGTATGACAGAAGTTGCTGTATTCTTCCTATCAGACCCATGGTGAGGTTAATTTTTTTTATAAGTGTTCTGCATAAAATAGGAGTCCAGCACACAGCTGGAGAGTAGGAGTGCAGTTTAGAGGTTGGTAACTAGAATACTGATAAATATCCATCACTTCTTGGACTGGGGACAAGGGGAGAGGTGGTGCAGCCATAATAAAATATTTACTTTTACCTTTAACATTTTCTGATCATTCAGGATTTAATTTAAAGCAATTGATTTGACAAGTCAATTATAAGCATCCTATTTATATTCTCAGCTAAAAAAATGCAGTTTAGGAGAAAATATGTGAAAGCTGGAGTTTTTAACCGATAGTTAACTTTATAGCCTTGAAAGCAGGGATTCTCATACTTATCTGTGGTTCCCATCTTACCAGAGAGCCTTCAGAGGATCTGCTGTATTTCATCTCATTAGTGGCTCTCTTTGTCAGGATGGCACTTGGTTGTCATCCATACCTCTCAATGGGAAGTAGTTCCTCAAGCAGACAGATCAGGAGCTCGTGCCCATGTCTTCATCCCAGCTTCTTCTGTCAGGGTCTGGGCATCTTTGTCTCAGTGTCTGACCAAGGGAGGGATCTGGAAACAAAAATGATGAGTCAACACCATATGACCTGCCTGCCTGCCACGGGCCACCAAATGGTCTGTAAAGCCAAGTCTGAAGGAAGAAAGTAACCACAGCATGGTAGCTAGAAAAGCCCCGAAGGGCTGTTGATGGTGATCTCAGGGTTTTGCAAATACTCCCTTAGGTGTTAGTACACACCAGAAAGATGAGAAATATGAAATGCTGCCAGCTTTCAGAGTTGTTCTGAAAAGTCAGAAGATGTTTGGGTTTGCTGAAAATGCAGGCTTTAGGAAGAAGGAAGACACTTGGGCGTGTGTAGCGAAAAGATCCTGAACACTCACCATGAAGGACAAGAACCACAAATGAATTGGTATAATAATTAACACTCTTTTTAAATCACATCTCTTTTTTAATTTTGTAGTGCCTGGGGTTGTAATACTGGAGAACCTCAGGCAAGTAAAGGTCTCTGCTGATCTTATTTCTCAGCAGATGAAGCAGGGTACCATGTTTGTACATTTGTGTCAGGAAGAGCTTACACTGAATGATCCTAACAACTGTTTGCAGGGTCATAGTCCCCATCAGTGTGGAAGAACATTTGGTACTGGGATTTTCAGCGTTGTTTCTGTGTATGCCAAGACCATGCAAGATAAATTAAACAACTGAGAGACTGCCATCATGACTCAGTCATCTGCCCTGAAATTAAATTCAAGAAGGTAGAGCATGGTCTGCTCAACCCTGTTGTGTCTGCTGGGGACTGGCCCATCTTTTCCTTCTCCACTGTGCTTGGCCTAGTTCTTTAGTAAGACTTACTAGGAAGAAAGCACTGTCTCTTCCTTCTCATCCTTCTCCAGCACAGAACTGGGGGTGTTTTTTCCAGTGGGGAGACTCTTTGCCACCTGGCAGCTCTTCATCCTTAGGAGTTCGAGAGTCCTTTTTGTTGCTTAGCCAGGAGCGATTTTTTCAGGCAGCAGCTTGAACATTATTCTGTATCATTCATTTCAAATCATAAATTTCACAGAGAAAGATTATTGTATCCTCTTCCTGTGTATCAAAACATTTGTTTTAGTGTTCCACCTGTCTTGGTGGGAATTTCCTTACTATGGGCTAGTGATAAGACCAGAAAGATATAGTGACTAACCCTTGGACACTGCAGGCTTTGATAAATGTGGAAGAAGTGCTATGGTTTCATCAAAAGAGAAGCAACTGTAAGTATAAATAATGTATTTTCTTGGTTAGATCCCAGCTCATGGTATTGTTTGACTTTGTTAGACATTACACGTTTTAGAGAAAGTTTCTAGCACTCAGGATTGCAAATAAAAGGTTGAAAATGCCACCCTGGCTTTGATAGGGATGCAGTGGCTGTGGGTAGCTGGGAGAAGTGGAATCTGGAGGTTCCCAATGCCCCATTCCCTTTCTGGCATGAACAGGGAGAGAGGAGTCCTTGACACAACTGCTCTCCTGTCCATTCCCTAGGATGCAGCCTGGGTTGCAGAGTATCCATTCCACTGCTGCCCTTGGAGCTGCTGCCCTCCATAAGAGAAGGGCGTCTAATGGAAGTGGGGCTGTAGGAAGACAGCCCAGGTCCTTGTCTGCACATGGATTGCCATTTTCCTGCTCTGCTAGGGAGCTCTTTTGGCTGGGGAAGACAAGTTTCTGGCCCTTGGCCAGAAGGGAGCTGATACTTTCAAAGTTCGTCAGCTAGGCACAGAGTTTGGAACTGGCTGGAGCTTTGCATTTCCGGTGCCAGCTGCTCGTGATTTGACTAGAAACACTTTCCTAAGATGTGTGAAAAAATAAAAGTTATTAAAATTCTTGGGTTGCTGATTGCCATTTGAATCTGAGTAGTCACACTTTTATTAATATGCAGTAATTTATGTCAGTGGTGGCGTAACCTCAGTCCTCAGTCTTTGCACTTATAATGCTTTCGTAACCTCACCTTGTTCCAGCGCAGTGTGGTTACTGCTCCATTGCAAAGCTGTGAGGGGAATCAGTGCTTCAGTGCCCTCAGCTCCCTGGAATAACCTCATGGCACCTTTGCTGTTGCTGTCAGGATATAGGTAAGAGTTTATAGGAGGGATTTTGCAACATCTGCCCTATGAAGCACAAACTTGCTGCGTGCAAGTTTTTAGGGAGAAGGCAGCCCAGATGTTCAAGTAAGAGGAATGAGTTGAATGATCGAGTTTAAAAATCATGATCTAATATAATTGATTTTTCTTCTTCCTCTGTTATAATGGCTTGAAACTAAGTGATGACAGAGGTAGGATTATCTTGCTTTCCTCTGGATTGTATTTACCCATGTTGTGCCTAACCTGCTATGGGTAAAATAGTTTTGTCTCTGCTTCTGGCAGTGTCTTCCCCCACTGCAAATTCTTCCACCATTGCATTTTAAGGTGTCCATCATCTTGATATCCAAATGCCAATTAAAATGCAGAATTATCACACAGCACGGTTAAAATAAAAGTCAAAGAATCCTGGTTTACAAATCTCTAATCTGAAATTTATCTCTTTTTCAGTCACTGTTTCTTCATTAATTGCATAAACAAGTATTTGAAAAAAAATTGTTGCTATCAGATATTTTGTTATCTGGCCACAGGGTGTGAAGTGTTTTTAATTGTTTTTCTGATTAACTTCAGGCTCCCAAATTCAAGTAGAAGCATATTTGTGTTTTCAATGTGAGATCCTGTACCTTACTAATGGATGAGTATGTTTGTGGTACTGTACAAGGATTAATGAAATTTTAAAAAAAACCCTCTGCTGCTGCTGATTGACCACTGATGGTAAATGTAATTGAATTAGCAGTGCACTAAAATAAATGTAGACAAAATAAATATAGACAAGAAAATCTGGTGAAAGCTTCTGTAATGTTTTAGATTAATAGGCATACAGAATTCTTCACATTTTTTATTACGTTGTCCCTAGATGAATTCAAAGTAATTGGGGTGGTTAATTTTATTTACACGGAGCCGTTCACAGCGCATTAAATAAT